TGATCAGGAGTCAATTTACCATAAAAGGGGGCAATAAGGCACCCATTCAGCCACACACCAGTGTTATTAATAAAAGGAAAGTCATCTTCGTTAACTAAAACATGAAATGACGCATATGAGTCAAATTTAGTTTTAAGTCTGGTGCAGACCAGCGCCTTAAGACTCAATTGCTCTTTAAGTGCTCTTTTCCACCTCAACAGATGTAACTTCTGGACTAAAATGGGAAACAAAAAGAGCCTTAGACTTTTCCCTATTAGAAACAATTGGAAGTGCGACACAGATACGCACTCCAATCAGAGGTTGACGACGCTGCTTGGTGGCTGCTGGTGTTACCTGAGAAGACTTCTTGTGAGTAACTGAAATAAAGCCATCAGAGTCCATTTGACCTGGAACTTCCTTGCTGCGCAAGCCAGTTAATGCAACATCCTTGTAAGATTTAACTCCTGACTCGGCAGAAGTCTGAACAAAAAAATTTGTGCTGATCAGCCGCAGCAACTTCCTTTCTGGGTTTGTAACCGGGCAAGGAGGACAATGATTCCTGGTGCTGCACTTTGGGCTGCATGGGTTGATAATCCACTAGACCTCACAGCTCTTTAATTTCAGCCTTTAGGACTGTGTTATCACTTTTAAGAAGGGTGACATCCTCTCTCAATTTATTTACACTATCCACCAACGATTCAATCAGGTCAAGTGCACAGACCTCATTTAGACGTACAGTCTCTAGTTTTACCAGGATTGCGGAAGGAATGCACTTGATCAGGAGTCAATTTACCATAAAAGGGGGCAATAAGGCACCCATTCAGCCACACACCAGTGTTATTAATAAAAGGAAAGTCATCTTCGTTAACTAAAACATGAAATGACGCATATGAGTCAAATTTAGTTTTAAGTCTGGTGCAGACCAGCGCCTTAAGACTCAATTGCTCTTTAAGTGCTCTTTTCCACCTCAACAGATGTAACTTCTGGACTAAAATGGGAAACAAAAAGAGCCTTAGACTTTTCCCTATTAGAAACAATTGGAAGTGCGACACAGATACGCACTCCAATCAGAGGTTGACGACGCTGCTTGGTGGCTGCTGGTGTTACCTGAGAAGACTTCTTGTGAGTAACTGAAATAAAGCCATCAGAGTCCATTTGACCTGGAACTTCCTTGCTGCGCAAGCCAGTTAATGCAACATCCTTG